TTAGAATATTGTCCTGGGGAGAAGCAACTGTGCTCCCATGGAGCATTATTAGCCATAGAGAGAGATGAATGGGAAGTGAGATTCTGCCAGGTATCTCGGGGTCTTGTTACTGCGAACTACTCTTGTCTCTTCAGGCTCCAGCAGCTTCTGCCTCCTCTGACAGATCATAGGAAGCTTAGTTAAAGAAAATTTGTGGAAGGAGCTCTCCCCAGTGTCCAAACTCAGGAACAATTGCTGAACTTTAGCCTCCCTCATTTAGAGACCCCTGAAGAAATTGGCCAGATGCCCACTTTGTCTTCAGCTTCTTCTCAGCAAAAAGCATTAGAAATACAAAAAAGAGAAGGGATACCCTTGAGGCATTCCTAGTGAGCTCTAGCCTGACCTGCTAGAGCCAATTGCAAGCATAAATTGTCTTCAGCCTCACTAGCTGGGATTGTTCAGAAGCTAGCTGGATTTAGAAAATATTTGTTGACTGCTACAGTAGACAGATTACACCAGTTAAAACCCTGAACTATAAACATTTAAAACACATAACTCAGGTAATTAAACATACATGGCATTTTGTTATTGGGATTTCTGAACAGAATAGACTCCTCCTTTCCATAATTGTCCACATATCCTTTCTATTGCTTTGTTACTGTAACAGCGACCACTCTATTAACCTCCTCCCTGATTAACATTTATATTTACTGCATAGCTCAAACAAACACTACTGCTTAACTACAAAAGAACTACTCAAAGACTTGTACCATCTCTAGCTATTTTACTCCCAGTTTCTATCCTACTTGTCAAGACACAGCAGATGCTTAATAAACATTTACAAAATAAATAATGTTAACATCAACCTCCTGATCTCTCTTCATTATTGTTTTATCCCTGATACCCATTCCATAAGGATATCTCATTGGGTTTTTCTGTTTTGTTTGGTTTTGTTTGGTAATGAAACCCCTATCCTGGTGATACCTCTTTTCCTATTTTGGAAAGATGATTGAGACTTTTTGGCATGGATGAACCGACTCATATACTTTTAGTCTTTAACAAAACATGTAAATCTTTTACTTCAGTTTTCAAACATAGATTTTAAGCAGTTTAGCAGAACTTATCGAATCTTTCTCTTATTTCCGTTGCTGTGTTTTTCAACAACATGTCCAAGTATACTGACGTAACTTTCCACCCATCAATTCCTTTCTTAAAGCCCACTTTCCTTGTAAGCTGGCTTCCAGCTCTCCTCCTCCTCAGGAACTACATAGTCTGTGCACCAAAATCTTATTCTTAACAAATCTTAACTACCACTTTCTTCTCTGATTTCTATACTTGCTGGAATATTATGAAATTGCACTTTCCCAGTTTCCTTAGCTTGCAAATGCTGAAGAAATTAGCAATGCTATTCACCAATACTCCAGTTTTCTATCTAACCACATGATAGGAGGGAATTTCTGAAACACCACAAAGCTAAGAATGCCTATGTCTTGTCTGAACCAATGAAGTATGAGTGGGGGTGCCTAGGTGGCTCAGTTAGTTGGGCATACGACTCTTGATTTCTGCTCAGGCCACGATCCCAGGGTCGTGGGATCCAGCCCCATCCTGGGCTCCATGCTCAGGGTGAAGCCTGCTTAAGATTCTCTGTCTCTCCCTCTGCCCCTCTCTCCTGTTTATGATCTCTCTAAAATAAGAAAAAAATAAATAAATAAGTGGAATTTACATATTTAAGGAAAATGTTTTTTAAAGCAGGCACAAGTCATCATGTTTCTGGTTTGCTAAATCAGAAATTGCTAAAGCATGAAGAAGAAACTTCCTCAGCTTGATTACCTGAGTGAGGATGATACACTGTAGGGCCCTTACCATAAGCCCCCCAGAAAGGACAAGTAATGTGAGGGGAAAAAAACTTTCCAGTTGTAAACTGCTGACATTTGGGGGGTTATGTTGGAAGTCTGAAAAGTACCCTCAGGCTTGATGATTCACCAGAAAGACTCACAGGACTCAGAAGTGGTCCTAATTATGGTTACAGTTTATTACAGGGTTAGGATACAAATCAAAATCAGCAAAGGGAAAAAGCACATGTGGCAAAATCCAGGAGAAACCAAGCATAAGACTCCAGTTGTCTGCTCCCAGCGGAGCTGCATGGGGACACACTTAATTCTCCCAGGAATGATACGTGAGAACACACGTGAAGAGTTGCCAACCAGGAAAGCTCACCAGAGCTATGAGGCCCAGGGTTTTTATTGAAGGTCAGTCTCATGCAGTGCCTATAAAACCAGCCTCAGCTACTAAGACTCAAGTCCTCTCCAGATCAAAAGCAGGCTATTCACCATAAATATAAACTTATTTGGTAAAACTAGTCCATCATAGCTCAAAGCCTCAGTCTACAAAAATATTCTCGTCAGGCAGAATATTCCAAGGGTTTGGAGAACATCTCCCAGAAGCCAGCCAAGGAGGAGTCCTAAAACAGGGCTTTCTTTGGAATATGTAGGGAATGAAAAACCCAGGCCTGTGGAGTTAATTAGCTCTTTCCTGCCCAAGGAGTTAATGGGGGAGGGAGGTCATACAGCCTCTCCTGATTATGTTATAGACATCCAAATCATCCAAATCCTTTTGAAATACTTGTTAAACTAGACAAATGAACAAATGTCCAAACAAAGCTATAAAGGAAGGTAGAATAATTTAAATATTTACACTTAATAAATCTTCAGAAATAGTACTTTTTGAGACATACACAAGTTAAAAAATATCACTACCAGGAGATCTACACTGCAAGAAATTTAAAGAAAAGTCCTTTGGGGAGAAGGAAATGATATCATACGGAAATCTGGATCTACATAAAGAAATTAAGATACCAGAAAGGGTATTTACATGAGCAATTATAAAAGACCGTTTATTCTTTTTAAATCTCCTTTAACAATAATTTACTATTTAAAGCAAAAAAATGTATTTGGGGGGTTATAACATAACAATAATACAAAAGCATCAAGGGATAAATGAAAGTATATTGTTATTAGATTCTTAGGGGCACCTGGGTGGCTCAGTCAGGTAAGCATCTGACTTCAGCTCAGGTCATGATCTCATGGTTCATGAGTTCAAGCTCCGTGTCAGGCTCTGTGCTGACAGCTTGGAGCCTGGAGCCTGCTTCAGATTCTGTGTCTCCCTCTCTCTCCTCCTCCCCAGCTTGCACTCTGTCTCTCTCTCTGTCTCTCTCAAAAATAAACACTGAAAATTTTTAAAAAAAGATTCTTATACTAAACATAAAGTGATATAATATCACTTAAGGGTAGACCCTAATATGTTAAAGGTATAAACTATAAATCATAAAGCATCCCTTAGACTAAAAAAAACTACAACTAATAACCCAACAAAGGAGATGAAAGAAAATCATAAAATACTCAGTTCACAAAGACACAGAAAAAGAGGAACAAAGGAAGAAAGAATAGCTAGGACAAATAGAAAACAAAGAACAATATGGCAGCCTTACACCCAAATGTATCACAAATCACATCAAATGGAAAACTGGACAGCTACATGCAAAGGAATGAAACTGGACCATTTATTTACACCATACACAAAAATAAATCAAAATGGATTAAAGACCTAAATGTGAGACCTGAAACCATAAAAATTCTATAGAAGAATGCAGACAGTAACCTCTTTGATATCAGATATAGCAACTTCTTTCTAGGTATTTGTTTCTGAGGGAAACAAAAGCAAAAATAAACAATTGGGACTTCATCAAAATAAAAACTTCTGCACAGTGAATGAAACAATCAACAAAACTAAAAGGCAACCTACTCAATGGGAGAAGATAATTGCTAACGGCATATCTGATACAGGGTTAGTATTCAAAGTATATAAAGAACTTATAAAACTCAACACCCAAAAAATGAATAATCCAATTTAAAAATAGGCAGAAGACATGAACAGACATTTAAAAAAAAAAAAAAACCATACACGTGGCCAACAGACACATGAAAAGCTGCTCAACATGACTCACCTCAGAGAAATGCAAATCAAAAGTACAATGAGATATCACCTCACACCTGTCAGAATGGCTAAAGTCAACAACACAAAAAACAATAAGTGTTGTTTAGAATGTGGAGAAAAAGGAACTCTCATGCACTGTTAGTGGGAATGCAAACTGGTGTAGCCACTGTGGAAAACATTATGGAGTTTCCTCAAAAAGTTAAAAATAGAAGTACCATATGATCCAGAAATTTCAGTACAAGGTATTTACCCAAAGAATACAAAAATACTAATTCAAAGGGATACATGCACATTGATGTTCATAGCAGTATTCTCAACAATACCCAAACTATGGAGACAGCCCAAATGACCATCAACTGATAAATGGATAAAGAGGTGGTGTATACATATATATATATATACACACACACACACACACACACACAATGGAATATTACTCATGAATGGAGCTAGAGAGTATAATTCTAAGCGAAATAAGTCAGAGAAAGACAAATACCATATAATTTCACTCATGTGGAATTTAGGAAACAAAACAGGGGCACCTGGGTAGCTCAGTTGGTTGAGCATCTGACTCTTGATTTCACCTCTGTTCATGATCCCAGTGTCAGGGGATTGAGCCCCACATCAGGCTCTGTGCTGAGCATGAAGCCTGCTTGGGAATCTCTCTCTCCCCCTCTGCCCCTCTCCCACTTGTGCACCCTCTTTCTCTCTCAAATAAAAAAAATGAAAAAGAAAAAAAGACACAAACAAAAAAACCTCACACCCTTAAATAGAGAACCAGTGGTTCCTGGAACCGGGGGGGGGGGGGGGTGAAATCAGTACATTTATCTTGATGAGCCCTGAGTAATGTACAATTGTTGAATCGCTATATTGAACACCCGAACACCTTACATTAAGTATACTGGAATAAAAAAAAATGTTTTAAGAAACTGAAAGCCAAATTTTTCAGATCCTGCTTTGAAATTCAAAGTTAAAGGAGGATTCTTCTAAGCTCATTCCTACTGTCTCTCAGAAGCACTGGATGTTTAATACAATGGTGGAAGGCAATGAAGCAGCAAAAAAATCCTAGAAATTAAAACTCAAATTTTAAAGTATTTTCTCATTCTTTCATCATTATCATTTGGACTGAATAGAATCTGGGCTAAGGGTGGGAAGGGAGAGACAATTGTCTCAGATCTATGATGTCACAGCTGAAGTCACAGAGAGTTGAAAAGGGCAGGGTAGATGGGGAGCAGATGAGACGGGGTTGTTGTGAAATGAGGCTCAAAGAGAAGAAGTTCTAGGGGGAAATGAGTCAGGCAAAGTATAATGTGGGCAGCCAAACTGGGTAACTTTCTGGGCATAATTGGCCTAGTTCTGACTGGGGTTTGAGGGTGGGGAGGATAGGAGAAGGAAACGGGGAGGCAACTTTTCAGAGGAGGATTTAACTCTTGTCTAGGTTACTTCTTTGGCCTTTCAGCTCCTTGTGTTTTTGACACTATCAACTATGAGGTTTCCCTCTTCTTCTACAAAGCACTTGAAGGCTGGAGCTGCCAGACTTCCAGCCTGTAGTGCTACCCTTAACTGACCATGAAGATTCTGGCTGTGGGGTAGAATGGGACAGGGAATTTTCCTATCTTCAATTCACTATACACTACTTCCTATCCTTGCTTTACAGCCCACCTTCACCTCAAGGACACTCTAGCCAACTCCTTAGCCCCAATCTCAGCCAGCTGTTATTTTTTACTCAGGTTTTTTTTTTTTTTTCCACCTACCTTCTCACTAGAATTTTCTGTTCTTACTGAAAAAGACTTACCTGGAGCTATACTTCCTTTCTCTCATCCTTATCTTTCTTTATACATATGTACACACACACACTGACCCATTCAAAACACAAATGTTTCATGTACTGCTGAGACCTCTGTCCTTGTGGGTAAGTGCTTCTCTTCTCACTCTTCCTCTATCATTTGTGCCTCCCCAGGACCTAGAGCTGTCTCCATCTTCAGCTCCAGAGTCTCTGGTTTCTGTTCAAGAACAAACGGCACAGCATACTTTCCAAGAGCAGGAACAAAGGATCTCCATGCAGCAGAATAGGTAAACAGGGCTAATGATGATCTTCAAAAGTCTTTAGATTAGATATGCTGTGTGAGAGAAGAACTAGGGTCACCTGTCTACTATCCCCCTTCTGATACACTTACTTCCTGACAGAGGAGGGTGGAGACTTTCATGTATCCTCCCTTCTCCACCTCCTCAATGTAAGAAATCTTTGTAGATCTTTGTCATTTCAATTCAGAGGGTAAGCATCAATCTGAAATCCCTCTAGGAGTGAGCTGGGTATATAACATAGGGACATTTATTTATCCCAAGCAAACATTTGCTAAGAAGTCCTTATGTCATCTATAGTGTAAATCAAGGCCAGCCATCCAAAACCATGCTTCCCTTGAACTAGGGTAGAGAGGAGGGCCAGAATCTGCTGCATGAAACAAGGTATGAGACCCATAAAGTCGGAAGAAAGGAGGCTTGCTGTGAACTTATGGGTCAAGAAAGCTTCAGAAAGGAATTAGGACTTGGCTTGAGCTTTTCAAGCAGGCAGATGTTTTGAAGAGTTTGTAGGAAGTCACGAAGAAAGAGAGTCAAAGTGTCTTCAAGGTTTCCAAGCTGCCTACCTTTAAAGTGCTCCGAATGGTCAACTGGACCTCAAGTCTGAGAGCCAGTAAGTAATTGAGAAGCCTGAAACCTAGGAAGATGGAAACCTGTTCTAAGAGTATGAAGTCTCTTGCAGACAGCAGCAGGACTATGAGGAGAAATAGTGAGTAGATATTAGAGTCTCTCTGAGTTCTATATGAGAAAGCATAAAACCACACCAGAGATGTCTGCTGACAAATAGGTGTTCTGGCAGTTAAAGTGAGCAAGACACTGAGAAATAGTGATAACAATATTTAAAATGAACTTTATAGTTTCAAAGGCTTTCATATAATCCAACCCCAAACTCTGGAAGGTGAAGATCATTTCTCCTACTTTTTTCACATGAAGAAATAAATTTATACAGGCAAAGAGACTTGACAAAAGTCCAAGAACTGGAACACAATGAAGCTGGAATTCAGACAAACCCTTCTGTCTCCAAATTCCAAATTCTTTCTACTGCAGTGTGATTAGGCTTTCAATAACTCAGTATAAAACGAGGAGGACATAATAATTTATGCTCTTTTAGAGAAGTTATAACAAAGAGTATATTCAAACAGACTGAGTTGGAATCAGCTTTTTTACTACTATTACTTAGCATGTCAGAGTCTCAGTTTGCTGGAAAGTAAAATGCTCCACCCACACAACCCTCATAGCAGCACTGTGTTTGAGGATGAAAAATGTGGATCAAAGCACCTACCTCAGTGCCTGGTTCATGGAGGCTCAATCTTCTTGAACCCCCAATTTCCAGGAATAAATTGATGAAATTCTACCATGACTGCATCTTTTCTATCTCCTCTTTCTCCTTTCTCCTCGCTCCTTTCTTTTTCTCTTTCTCTCTCTCTCTCTTTCTCTCTCTCTGTGTTGGGTATTGTTTGGTTTTTTTATTTACTTAGCCAGTTTTTTAATCAAATAATCAATTTATGATTCTCCATTGATCATTACGTAGCAATAATTGCTTACTATTGCCATTTGTTGAATCCTGAATATATTATAATTCCACTGTTCCTCTCCTCATCTCTTGCTGTCTTCCTTTGTGATTTGTTGAATTTTTCTTTTAGAACAAAATAAGCTGTTTAGTTAGGATTATATTTTCAGAAATTGCAAATAAAATTGTAACATTTATAACAGGAATATATATATGAATATATATACATATATATGAATACACACACACACACACACACACAGAGATACATACACAAAATGTAGTTCATTCATTCAGTGAAAACAAGAATGTTCATTTTTAGAATAAGTTCATTTTAGCCTAATCAGTAATTATAATGGCAAGTATGATCACCTACAATACACAACAACAAAAAAAAACATTTTATTAAACCTATCAACAAATTTTGTAAAAAATGCTCAATAAAAGGAAGTTTCCTAAAATGACCCATAAGTAAACAAACCTTAAACTAATAGGATTAATATTCACTGTCAAAGACCCAAGGGCTCTTTCTGTTTTCATATATTCTGTAAGAACCATGAATTGTGAAAGAAAATTAGAATTTTTGAATTTCAATAAAACGTAATTAAAAACTTTACAAAAATGGCTCATGTATTAATAAGAAAATAAACTAGATGTACAACCCCATTACTACTTTAACAAAACTAGAAATGACTGGGAATGAATTGTTGAATTTTTCTAGTGGTATGCTTTGATTCCTTTCTCTTTATCTTTTGTGTATTTACTAGAAATTTCTTCTTTGTGGTTACAATGAGGTTTATATAAAACATATAGTATAGGTCTATTTCAAGCTGATAACTTTGATTGCATCTACATTTTTACCCCTCCCCTCCATTTTGTTATTGTTGATATTTACAATAATCTTTTCTTTTTAAAGATTTTAAGAATCTCTGCATCCAAGGTGGGGGTCGAACTCACAACCTGAAGACCAAGAGCCACATGCTCTACTGACTGAGCCAGCCAGGCATCCCAATATTTAGATCTTTTTGTAATGTGTATCCATTAACAAATTATTGTAGCTATAGTTATTTTTAATACTCTTGGGTTTTAATGTTTATACTAGCATTAAAAATGATTTAAGCATCAACATTACAGTACTGAAGTATTCTGAATTAAACTATGTATTTATTTTTTCCAGCAAGATTTACACTTTCATATGTTCATTCTGCTGTTTAACATCCTTTCATTTCAATTTGAAGAACTTTCTTTAGCATTTTTTAAATATTTATTTATTTTTGAGACAGAGAGAGACAGAGCACAAGTGGGGGAAGGCCAGAGAGAGAATGACACACAGAATCTGAAGCAGGTTCCAGACTCTGAACTGTCAGCACAGACCCCAATGCAGGGCTCAGACCCACAAACCATGAGATCATGACCTGAGCCAAAGTTGGACACTTAACCGACTGAGCCACCCAGGTGCCCTTAGCATTTATTGTACACAAATATAGAGGTGATGAACTTGCTTAACTTCTGTTTGTCTGGGAAAGTCGTTGTCTCTTATTTATTTCTGAAGGATAGCTTTGCCAGGTAAAGTACTCTTGGTTAACGGGTTTTTTTTTCTTTTGATACTTTGGTGGGATGCCTGGGTGGCTCAGTTGGTTAAGCGTATGTCTCTTGATCTCAGCTCAAGTCGTGATCTCATGGTTTGTGAGATGGAGCCCCATGTCAGCCTCTATGCTGACACTGCAGTACCTGCTTGGGATTCTCTCTCCTCTCTCTGCCCCTCCTTTGCCCTCTCTCAAAATAAATAAGCTTAAAACAATACTTTGGCTATTTCATACTATCACCTCTGGCCCGCAAGGTGTCTGCTGCGAAGTCTGCTGACAGTCTTCTGGGAGTCCCTTTGTATGTGGCAATTCACTTTTTCTTGCTGCTTTCCAAATTCTCTTTGTCTTTTGACTTTACACAATTTGATTATAGTGTCTCAGTGAAGATCTCTCAATGTTCAGACTTTCTGAGATTTCTGAGCATCCTGAATCAGGAAGTTTATTTCCCTTCCTGGATTTGGGGATTTTTCTGGCATTATTGTTAAATAAGCTGTCTGCCCCTTTCTCTTTCCTTGTTCCTTCTCTCAAAATGTCTATATTGTGTCACTTGACAGTATCTCATAAGTTACATAGACTTTCTTCCCTCTTTTGCATTCTTTTTTCTTTTTGTTCCCCTGCTTAAGTCTGCCCTTGAAGCTCTCTATAGAATCCTTAAGTGCAGTCATTGTATTCTTCAGCTCCACAAAGTGTTTGGTTCTTTATTTTTTCTGGCTTTTATCTCTTTGTTGAACTTTTCCTTTTGTTTATATATTGCTTTCCTGATTTCCACTAGTTGTCTGTGATCTCTTATAGCTCACTGGGCTTCTTTAACATGATAATTTTAAATAGTTTTTTAGGCAATTCCTATGTTTCCATTTCTTTGGTACCTGCCCCTGGAGCTTTATTTTGTTCCTTTAGTAACACTGCTTTCCTTGATTCTTCATGTTCCTTGAGTTTTTCCATTGCTGGTTCCGGGAGTGAAAGACCTTCACCAATAGCCCAGGTAAAAATGGAGGGGGGGTGGTTCTCAGGCCTTTTTTATGGACACACTCACCCTTATCTTCTTTTTCCCTCTTGGGGAAGGTTTAGGATTTTATATCTTCTCTTCCCATAAAGCCAGTCTGGGTACTGAGAGCCTCCTGTTTATTTTCCCCAGGATGGTACCCTGGAGCATTCAATATTATACGCCTTCCCTCATTCCTACATAACTGTGCCAGCTGCTGCCATCTACATACTGTGCAGATGCTTGCATGTGCCATCTGCAGAGGCTTATATGCACCATCTTGGGGTGTGTGCTGAGTGCTGTGGGCATTTGTCAGCCAGTTTCAGGGATGGGGGACCTGCAGATAAGGAGTCCTGTAGAGATCATGGGTGGGCCTCTTGGTAGAGTCAACAAACCAACTAGTAGGATCTACAGCTGGTTTCTGAGATCCAGGTGGTGGCTTCTGTGAGTGCCCACTCCTTTTCTCTGTTCCCAGATCCACCCAAACTATTTAGCTGTGCCAGTCACCTCAGTGACCTCGGTGAGGCGAAGCAGAAGTTGGCCTCTTAGGCAATATCTCACAAGGCTGAGGAATCAGGGTGCTCATTTCACTCTCACTTTTCCCCTTGTGAGAAATCACAGGCTGAGAAGGTCTCTTTTGGCACTGAGCTATGCTACCCTTGGGGAAAGGTGACACAGGTAAAGTGAAACTGTTTTTCTTACCCTCTTCAATGCATCTATTTATGGATATTTTGCTCCTGTGAGGCGCTGGAATCTCTCTACTAGACTCCTGATTTCCCACAGAAGTATTCCCATCCATGATGGTTGTCAAAATTGATGTTTCCGGGGCGTTATGAGGACTGGAATCTCCTTTTCTGACCTCTTGCTGAAATCACCTACCCAGTGCCTCATCAGATTTATATCATTCTTTCTTTCCAGGAATCCACTGATGACACCATGCAACCAAAGGTGGGTAAGACTTCCAAATAGACTGGTTCCTTTGGAGTTTCCTGGAGAAAATGGAGAAGAAGGGACTACAGCTAGGAGACAGGAATGCTGCCTAGTAAGGACCATATCTTGGAGGACTTGGGCATTATAGTTCAGGGTGTTCTTAACCAGCTGGTGGATCACTGTCTACCAAGACTAGGTAATACCTTCAGTGCTACTACTACGCTAGGTAATTCCAGGGGCAGGAAGGCTACGTGGATATCATAAGGGTAAAAATATGAGACTATTTATACCTGTCACCCTCCAGATAGATCAAGAGATGACAGGAGATATGGCCTGAAAATTATTCAGTAGGACTAAAGGAGACTTTGGAATGTCTGAAAAATAGGATGACTTCAAGTGTCCATCTCAATTCCAAAAAAATATCTTGTGTCCTATCAGTTTAATAGTGTGTATAATCCAATTCTGGGAGAGTTAGGGTAATATTCCCAAGATATGTCTGTTATTTCAACAGGAAATACAGCTAACAATAACTGAAGCCCTCTGGGACCAAGTAAGTACAAAGGGGTCATCTTTGACAGCATGTTGAGAGGCAGGAGAAGGGAGAGAGGACTTAAGAAAGGAGCAAACTTCTTTCATTCCCCTTGAGTAATTGCTTTGATTGATAGTGAAGGATTCCCATGCTCTCTCCCATCTTGTTCTATTACTCATCCAGTCCCAAATCCTCAGAGACTCCTCATGTTTGTGTACTTCAGCACCCTTCTGGGTATCCACTTGTCCATTAGATAATCCCAGCCTTTTGATAACTGCAAAATGAATAATTTAAATCTCATCCACTAGCAAGAAACTTAGGGGAGTATTGAGAAACCCATATACTTTAAATCTTAGATGAGAAGGCAAAGTTACCATTTTGTTATGAAAATTAAAGATCTTAACTCCATTTCTGATCCTAAAGAAAGTTATTTTATCTTTAGAGCTACTCAAATTGTCTGACAACTACTTGACTGTGACCCTTGATTCCTATATCATAAAAACTTTTCTGAAAGATTTGGCCCCTCCAGAAGGAGTTAGCTTCAAAATAAACCTCCCAAAAAATAAATGAATCAACCTGAAGAGAAGTATTTAGTTTAATCCATTTGAATGCCAAATTAAGTCCATTAAAAATTATTAGTTTTCCTATAATTGCTAGTGAGTGTCAGAGAGTAACATCCTAAGTGGTCCCATTGCTTCTAAAGGTCTTGTGTGGAACATGATTACGATTTTGTCATTAGCACAGAGGATTGTTTTTTCCCCACTGGCTATGGACTGGCAGGTTGATCGTAAGACATTAAAAGACTTTAAAATTGTATTGTCATTCAGATATAATTTCAATATTTGGGACACCATTCTGCTTTGCATTATTTATAATAGGAACTGCTTTATTACTAATAAATTTCTATCTGTTGTGAATTTCGTTGGAGTATTTTAATAAGGATTTTGGAGGAGCACAAATACCAGATTCATCCTGTGGGATCAGAGGTTGCTAACAAAAATGTTTTAATGCTTCAAACTGTCCTGCACATTCCCAAATTTATTGACAGTTGTTTAAATAAGAATAATGGCTAATAGTAGAAAACCATGCTGGAGCTTTCCTGTTCTTTAATTTATTAGATTTGAGAGACTCAGACCTGCTTTTTGTTGACAACTTCTAAAGTGTTGAGAAGTAAAAGAATAGGAGTCCATACTTTGGATATGAAGAATAATTGCCATTATTGTGGTTAGGAAAAGAATGGTTAGGAAAATTATTTAAATTGATTTAAAGAGATCTAGTCAAAAAAATGTCTTCCTTTGTTAATAATGAAATTGTTTAATCCAATTAAGGCTATATTTTGGAACTTGACAACTATGAGTTGAAAATAAAAAATAGCCCCATTAGGTCACCAATGTGAATTCATTGCCTTCAGTCTTCTAACTGAAGCAAAGCGATAAGTGGTTAGTCTCAGAATCTACATTATTAAGTCCTGCTTTCTGAAACTGCTTTACAATAGACTTGAATTTAATGAATTTGAAAGTAGCTTCTTTTAATTCTATAAAAACTGATGCCTTTTCCATTTTCACAAAATGTCCTTGGTTTTCCAGCTATAAGATAATGACACGTAGCCAATTATCAAACATGAAAATGCCAGGTTTCACTTTATATATTTCAATAGCATATCAGTGCAGAAGCTAACTATTCTAAGGCAGCCAGAGCAAGCTGTTGTGAATTCAAGAATACAGACATTATCTGGAGTTTCTGAGGACTTCCCAAAAATATCAACTACTTCAGCGTCCCAATCTTGACATTCTAGTTGCATATACATTTAAACTCTTAGACAGAGATGGGAATTAGTGGACAATTGATCACTTTGAACCTATATGTTTCCCATACAGAGCCAAGCAGGAAAAGACTATTAATGACTGAATTTTTTATTAAAAATGAATAGAAGTCTCCATAGCCTCTCCTGCAAGCTCCCATTAAACAATATTATATGAAATGAGTAATGTGATCAACTGTTTTATTCTCTGTGATTTACGATGACTCTTCCTGTAAGTTTTACAGAAGAAGGTAGTCTTCTTAATTAATATGGATAGGATAACTAATGTTCTTATAATTACTGTATTAGGAGAGTGAGTTGCTTATGAAAGCATCAGAAAACCATCCTGTTGGGAACCAATACATAATTGGATACCTATGACATAAAAAAGGAAATGATACAACAAAGAGTGAACAAAGGTAGTAAACTGGTAATTGGCACAGTCTACCCCATTGACTATTCAGCTTCCATATGCACCCACACACACATGTTGAAACTCCTGAATTTCAACAAAAGCAACTCTATATTTCCACCGAACAAGATATAACTATCTAACTCAAAGTCTTCATCCTTTTCCCAAAATGAGGCAACTCAGATTTCCAAAAGTCATTATGTCCATCCATGGCTAGGTGTGAGGGTAGGTACATATTCAGTTTTACAAGAACTGCCAAAACTTTTTCCAAAGTGAATATACAACTCTACACTCCTTCCAACAGTGTATGAGAGTGCCGACTGCTCTGTAGCTTCACCAATATTTGGTGCTGTCCTCCAATACAAATATGTGTTGACTTTAACGGCTATGCTTAGCTTCAGGACAAGGACCAATTAAGCAGAAATGAAATATAATAGTAGGTTTCATTTACATTCTTCCCACAACTCAGCCCTCTTTAAATCACTTCTGGCATTTCACCCATTTACCATATGGAGAAATGGTGGCCAAGAAATATATGTAGAGTATAAGTTGATGGGATTTATTGCTAACGCTAGGAAGCCATAGTCTCTTGGCATTCACACCCTATAGCCGAATAGATGGAAGATTCCATATATAAAATCCCTTTGTAATAAAGTCTATAACATTAATTTTTTCATAACTTTTGTGTCTTTCAGGTGCTAATGGCTTTTAGGGATATACAAAAGGAGGTGAGATTAAATTTCAATTCTCTAAACTCCCTGACCACATCATTTTTCCCTCGCTCCCATTTTTTCCATGCCCTAATATGATGTTGACTCTGATCAGTCCTTTATCTAGTGATTTCTCCTTTTAAAGAGCAGCACTGACTTGTCAGTTCAGGAAGCTAAGGGAAGAAGATGCCTAACAATCCCCTTGTGGAAATATGACAATAGAGAAAAATGTATCTACCATAACTTCTCTCAGCGAGAATATCTGTGCAGTTATATGAAACACTGATAAGTGACTGAGTTAGGAGGAGTCCACAAGCACTGTGGTAAATTTCTTTAATAGGCAAGTATGTCTATTAACTGTAGGGAAGTGCAAATTAGAGGTCAGAGCTAAATGTCTCTGCTAAACAGAAACATTCCTCCTCCTCTGCTCTTCCTTCATGCTGATTTAGGTCTTTTTCTATATAAATACTGATCAAATATTTTTAAAATATAGTCAAACATGCACTGTCCCAAGCTTGCTCTAGGTGTTGATAGATCTGGGTCCTACCAAGCCTGCTGTCCCACCTTTTTTTCTCTGTCTGTTACAGCAGACAACAATACACACTGTCTACACAATTACCTATCAGCAGACTATTTACATAGATAAACACATAACTTAAGACAAGTACTAATATTATAAAAACAAAACAAATGGGAAACTTCTAGACAGACTCTTTTGTTCCTCTGAATAAAGATACAGTTTCATTAAAATTAGCATCTAAGGGGGTGCCTGGGTGGCTTAGTCGGTTAAGTGGTTAAGTGTCCAACTTTCGCTTAGGTCATGATCTCGCGGTTTGTGGGTTCGAGCCCCGCGTCAGGCTCTGTGCTGACTGCCAGCTCAGAGCCTGGAGCCTGTTTCAGAGTCTGTGACTCCCTCTCTCTCTGACCCTCCCCTGCTCACGCTGTCTCTCTCTCTCTCTCTCTCTCTCTCTCTCTCTCCTAGAAATAAATAAATCATTTAAAAAAAATTAAAATCTTTTAAAAAAAATTAGCATCTAAGTATAATCTGAGCCTCCCGTGGCCTCAGAAACAGTAGCTCTCTCTGCCTAGTTGGGAAGAAGTCATGTATAAACTGATTGAGAAAGCACTGAAAATAAACCTTCTCTAAATCACTATCTGAACCACCCTTTACCGTAGAACTGAGCCCCTTCTGTAGTCCCAAGAAGCTATGTCATTGTACCCTGCTGCTATGTCTGGGACTTACTCTAGGGAAAATTACAGCAGTCTTTGCCTCTGTCCGGCTGCAAGTAAAAGAAGGCACTAGGTAGAGATAAGAAACTTGATCTTTTCACCCAAGGTTTGCCTTAGTGTCAGGGTGCCTCTACCCTACCCAGAACTTTAGTCCCCTTAGGCTTAAGTCTCCTCAAGGTAACACTTAAGCTAGTAAGAAGAGGAAGCCTATCTGTAAGTGGGACTTGTGTGTGTTGATTTCCATCCTCATAAGGCTTATATGTGAAGTTAAAAGTCCCATCTGATGTCCTCTATGCTGAAGCTCTCTTCCAGAACTTCATGGGATCCACCAGACAAAACCCTACCTTCATAAATTCCCCCTGATACAGGCTGATACAGGCAAACATATACTCTATTTACAGACTTATTAAGAAAAAATTTTATACTTAAATACTGAGAGAAGAATGTCAAGCAAAAGATAACAGAGAGAGGTAGAGTTAGAACGGACTTTCTTTTTGATTAGGAAAACGTTAGGACCCATGTTTGAAGCATTGTTATAAAGAAAGATGATCTACCAGGCTCCTGTTTGCTCAGGCGTCCCAAAGTGTATCCTCAGCTGTTCACTCTAGGATGGGTAAGAAGGATTTTTTTAAGGCCCTTGATAGATATTTAATAGTTCTCCTCAGAGAACCACTGGAGATGCAGTGAGGAGGGTAAAAAGGGCCTAGAAAAGGGAGAGCAGAAAGACCAGAAAAAAATAAAAGAGGAGAGTAAAGAATTGTGTGTCTCCTACCCCTAAAGAGGCTACATCTTGTCCTATTTATTTATTCATTATTCAACAAACATTTATCGAATATATGCTGTATGCAGGGCATTATGATAAGTGGTTTGTTGTGAGGGATACAAAAACAACACAAAATTCTGCTTTCAGGAAACTTAGAATTTAATTCCACTCCCTAAAAACCCATATTTCCCACATAGACATTCCTACATTTGTCCAAGCGTACCCTTGGTACACCAAAGTTTCAGAGGAGATGGACTCTAAGTCTCTGACTCTCTCCGAATTCTCATTATTTTTCAGCTGCAGGAAGATGCTCGGATTCGAGGTAAAAAAGCAGTATTTCAAGGTTTGGATCAGCCAAGAGTGGTGGGAGGGAATAAGGGGGAGTTCAACCCAAGATCTCATCTTCCATCTGAGTAAGAGCTGGAGTCGAGATCCTCCTTTCTTTTCCCCTTCAGCCAAGTGAACATGGACTTTCCTTGAACTCCCAGGAACACTACTAGTCTCTCCTCTGTCCAGCCCAATTAGCTAGACAGGCACAGAGGGATCCTTTTCTCTCATGGGATGACTGCTGAGGACTTGAGGATACTCTCAATCCTCAGTAAGACATAACTATTTTCAGTAGAGGAGGGACAGCAAGCATAGAGCTGAGCAGCTTCCTAGTTCTGTTATATGGGCTTACCAGGGCTGGCATAGGGATTAAATAGTGGGGACATCAGAACAGATGGCTTATTCAGGATGGTCAAGTTATAGTTCTAAACTATAGTTCTACGCCCAGATGAAAATTCTAGTGCTACAGGAAAATATTCAAAATCCCCAGAAACCTAGAATTACAGCATAAAAGCCATATCTGGAGCTCCATCCTTTACCCATCCAAGAAGAAATTTATAAATCAGGGCTTTCAAACTTTTACACGTATACAAATCACCTATATATGCTGTTAAAAAGCAGATTCTTATTCAGTAGGTCCAGCATGGGCCTGAGATTCTATATTTCTAAGAGGGTACCATGTGGTGCCAAAACTGATGATTCATGAATCAGACTTTTAGTTTCAAGGATATAAATAACCCAGTGAAATATCCTCCAATGTCAGAATGAAATAAGATTTATTTCAGGGGTTTACAAGTCCCATTGCTTCCAATATGGGTGGAGGAATCAGAGAGAGAAGGAAATCAAAAGGAGATTCTGACTAATCTAGGAGTCTTTCTGAGAATTAAAACTATTTCTAGACCCTCCCCAAAATGGAACTCATAATAGTCTGAAACTTCTTGTGAATCTTTAAATATATCCAGTCCAGAGAGAACCCTTCTGATCTTTCCTCAAGCCTGGTCAATGACCTCCATTCCAGAATGATAAAGAAATATGGCCAGGCAGATTCTATCACGAGATACAGAGGAAACTTCTTGGCTGCTGATCCCTAATGGTCAACACGTCAAAAGCGCCGAGCTTACCTCGGCTTAAAGGATACTCTCCTTTATCCAAGGAAGGATGATTTTCAAAGAGGTCACTGCAGGACTCTGGGAATACCCACCTGATGACCTAGAAAGGAAAAATGTCGATTTATGATCCTAACTGCTGCTGCTGTTAGTTTTCTGCTTCCTAAAAGATGGGAGGGTGGGGATTCAAAACAGGATGAGGAGAATGAAAGTCTCATTGTATTTATTTCCACACATAAAAAGGAGACAAGAAGTGAGAAACGAAGGACCTGCTCTCTACTGGCAGTGCCCTGGAACTGAGACACTTGGCTAACTCCTAATGCCCAGCTCTGGTTAAACAGAAAATCATAGTGGCCATGATTCACTATGCTTTGCAAATGACCACATGTCTAGTGCAAGCGACCAGGATGGCTGGTGCCATATTCTGCAACTGTCTCTCTTTAGTTTCCCCATAAGTTCTAACCTCTCCTTCTTTGGCTATACTCCAAACTAAGGATGTGAGCAGAGCTCATGGTCCTCAGGGAGACATTTCTAGATCCTTGTTAGAAAATGACTCCTTTGTGTGTCCACCTCAGGGATGAGCAACTGCTCCATGAAACCCAGGTCATCTGCATCTGGAACTAGGTAAGTAGCCCTCATTTGATAATCCCCAGTAGAAATGGTATCTATCCAGATATGGGTATAGTGGCTAGGATTATAGCTGGGTCTGAGCCTTGAGCTTTCAGAAACCTGTATTTCCAATAAACATCTTTTCTAAAGGGCAGGAGGTGGCCCCCACCACTCTCAACTAATGGTTAACTACAGAACCAGGGCTTCTTCCTCCATCCTCATCCCCATAAGAAATCTCTGTAGTCTCAAGAACAGTCCTAGACCTCATTGTAACAGATATGGGGAGATTCTCATCATTCACCTGAGGGAGTAAGGGAACACAGGAAGAATGTCAGATAAGAAAAGAAAGTCATGAGAAAGGAATAAAAAATTATGGCGTTAGAAGAAAAGACTTAGAAGAAAAAATTAATAAAAGTTTTAAAGTCCAATGCCCCAACAATGGGAGATGTTAATTTCTTTTCCAAAAGAAAAAGACCAGAATTGGTCAGCTGGGAAGATGGCAGAGTAGGAAGAATCTAAGCTCATCTTGTCCCATGGATACAGCTAGATAACACTCACATTAGCATAAATTACCCAGAAAATGATCCAAAGACTGGCAGAAAAACACTCTACAACTAAAGGTACAGAAGAGGCCACATAAAAGCAGGTAAGAAGGGTAAGACACAGTTTGAGAGTGAAACAGACCATGGCTATCGAGATGGAGAGAGAGCTGGTGGTGCATAGGACAAAAAAATATATTTTCATACAAGCAAACCCAAGAATGAGGAGGACAAATCCCCATAACACTTGCTTTTGAAAGCAAAAGGGGTTGAATTTCATGAGTTCTTATAACTAGCGGGACGTAAAACCTAGAATTTAAAAAATCAACCAACTCAGGTCTAGGACAGCCCAAAGGGTGTTAGGAAGCCGACTCCTTAAAGAAATACAACAGCCTGTGCAGATATAGCATAGAACCAGCAGTGTAGAAATGCCAGGGAAGAAAACAGAGAGTGATTTGCTCATCTCAGAGCATGGTCTGGAGAAACAGAGATCACAGGGAGACCCCTCCAAAAACAAAAGAGCTGGCAGGTGCCATTTCCCTCCCTGATCCCCCAGCATAAACAATGGCCACCTGTAGAAACTGCATGGGCCAATTCTCATTACATAACTTGCTTGCACCAAGCCCCCCACCTACCTCACTTCAGCAGATCCACTCTTCCCAGTCACACTCCCATTAGTCCTATAGCCCCAGGCCTCCTTCCCCAGAAGAACAACACGTATTCTCCCAACCTATGCATTCTGAGGGACCTCAGTTCCATCGACAGGGCAGGTCTCATTTCACAAGCATTTCACCACACATGTTAAAACACTGCCCCACTACTCTGCTGGGGACCAAACACTGCCCACAGTAGGCAAAGAGAACTTCTGCAGACAACTGGACTGAAATAACAACAGGCCAAAACTCAAGAGCAGAGCAGATGCAACACACAAAAGGGACACCGCCTGAAATGCCAGACCCTAGGGAATGGGGGACACTGCACTGTAGAGTACTACAAGACCTCTTCTTCATAAGGCTATTATCTTCAAAAGCAAGAGAAATAGCTGACTCTCCCAATACACTGAAACAGACACAGAGAGTTAGATAAAAAGAGGGAAAGAGAAATATGTCTCAAATGAATGAACAGGACCAAACCACAGCAAGAGACTTAAAGGCAAATGGATATAAGTAATATGCCTGATAGGGAATTTAAAGTAATGATCATGAAGATACTTAATGGACTTGAGAAAAGAGTACAAAACATCAGTGAGACCCTTAACACACAGGTTAAAAAAAAAAGAACCAGAGATCAAGAACACAATTAATGAAATTGAAAATACACTTGAGAGAATAAATAATATGCTAGATGAAGAAGAAGAACAAATTAATGACCTGGAAGACAGAGCAATGGGAAGTTACTTAGCTGACCACAAAAGAACAAAATTATGCACACTGAGAATAGTTTTAGAGAAGACAGTGACTCCATCAAGCATAATAACATCCAGATTAGAGGGATCTCAGAAGAAGGGAGAAAAAGGGTAGAAAAAAAAGTTTTAACAGGTAAAAACTTCCCTAATCTAGGGAAGGAAACAGATATTCAGATCCAGGAAACACAGAGTTTCCCCCAAAATATTTCCTCCAAAGAGTTCCACACCAAGACGAATAGCAATTAAATGACAAAAGGTAGTTATAAAGAAAAAAATTTAAGCAGCAAGATAAAAAAAGAAAAGACAGTTACATCCAAGGGAAACCCCACAAGGCGATAAGCAGGGTTTTCAGCAGAAATCTTGTAAGCCAGAAGGGAGTGGCATGATCTATTCAAAGTGCTGGAAGGGGAAAATGTGCAGCCAAGAATACTTTATCAAGCAAGGCTATCATTCAGAATATAAGTAGAGACAAAGAGTTTCTCAAACAAAAAAAAAAACTAAAGGAGTTCATGACCACTAAACCAGCCCTATGAGAAATATTAAAGGGGGTTCTTTGAGTGGAAAAGAAATATCTTAAGAGGGAGTATGAAAAGCAAAAAATGCAAAAGCAGTGAAATAAGTATTTCTGTAAATTTTAACATCAAGGGATTCACAAAATAAAAGGATGTAGAACATGACATCTACCTAAGACATGGCAGTGGAGAAGGGTAAAGAAAGGCTCCAAACTTAAGTAACAATCAACTTAATACATATTGCTATATGTAGAAGATGTTATACATAAACCTATTGGTAACCACAAATCAAAAACCAGTAATAGGTATGCAAACAATAAAGAGAAAGGAATCCAAGTATATCACTAAAGAAATTCAACAAACCATGAAGAAGGCAAGAGAAGGATCAGAGTAAATCTATAGAAACAATCACAAAACAAGTAACAAAACAGCCACAAATACATATCTTTCAATAATTATGTTAAATGAAAATAAACTAAAGGCTCCAATCAAAAGACATAGGGTGACAAGGGCACCTGGGTGGCTCAGTCAGTTAAACAGCTGACTTCAGCTCATGATCTCATGGTTCGGGAGTTCAAGCCCTGTAATGGGCTCTGTGTTGACAGCTCAGAGCCTGGAGCCTGCTTCAGGGAGATTCTGTGTCTCCCTCTCTGCTCCTCCCCTGCTCACGCTCTAGTTCTCAAAAATAAATGTTAAAAAAAAAAAAATCTTTAAGACATAGGGTCTTTAAGACAAGACCCATCTATACGTTGCCTACAAGACTCATTTCAGACCAAAAGATACCTGCAGATTGAAAATAAGGAGATGAAAAAAAAATAAAAAATAAAAAATAAAATGAAAATAAGGGGATAGAGAAACATTTATTATGCAAATGGAACTGAAAAGAAAGCCTGGATAGAAATACTTATACTGTAAAAACTACATTTTAAAACAGACTATAATAAGAGACAAAGACACTATATAATAAAAAGGGGACAATTCAACAAGAAGATACAATTGTAAATATTTATGCACCCCACAAAAGAGCACCCAAATACATAAAACAATAACAAATAAAGTAAATAATCAATAGAAATACAATAATAGTAGGGGACTTTAACACTCTACTTTCATTGATGAATAGGTCATCCAAACAGAACATCAACAAAAAAAAAACAGTGACACACTGGACCAGATAGATTTAATAAACATATTCAGAATATTCCTTCTGAAAAAGTAGGATATGCATTCTTTTCAAGTGAGTATAGAATATTCTTCAGAACACATCACATACTAGGCCACAAAACACGTTTCAACAAATTCAAAAAGATCAAAGTCATACCATGCATCTTTCTGACCACAATGCTATTAAACTAGAAATAAATCACAAGAAAAAATCTGGAAGGACTACAAAAACATGGACATTAAACAACATGCTACTAAATAAGGAATGAGTTAAGAAATCAAGAAGAAATCCAAAAGTAAATAGAAATCAACAAAAATGAAAACACAACAGTCCAAAACCTATGGATGTAGCAAAAGTGGTTCAAAAGAGGGAAGTTTACAACACTAACAGGTCTACCTCAAGAAGCAAGAAAAGTCTCAAATAAACAACTTAACCCTACCCCTAAAGGAGCTAGAACAAGAACAACATTAATAAAACCTAAAACCAGCAGAAGAAAAGAAATAATAAAGATCAGAGGAGAAATAAATGAAATAGAAACTAAAAAAAAAAAAAAAAAAAAAAATAGATCAATGAAATTCAAGAGGTGATTCTTGGAAAAGATCAACAAAATGGATAAACCTCAAGCCAGACTCATTAAAAAAAGAGAGAGGACCCTAATAAACAAAATCACTAACAAAAGAGGAGAAATAACAGCTAACACCAAAGAAATAAAAACTTTATTACAGAATATTATGAAAACCTATATACCAAGAAACTGGACAACTTAGAAGAAATGGATACATTCCTAGAAACACTAAAGCAGGAAGAAATAAAAAGTTTGACCAGACAAATTAACAGCAATGAAACTGAATCAGTAATCAAAAAAACTCCCAGAAAACAAAATTCCAGGAACCGATGGCTTCATGGTTAAACTCTACCAAATATTTAAAGATGTAACACCTATTCTTTAACTATTGTTAAAAATAGAGGACTAAGGAAAACTTGCAAATTCATACCAAGAGATCTGTTATCACCATGATACCAAAATCAGATAAAGACACCACAAAGAAAAATACAGGAAAATAGCTCTCATGAACATGGATGTAAAAATCCTCAAAATAGTAGCAAACTGAATCCAAAAATATTTTTTTTAAAAATCACATACTATGATCAAGTGGGATTTATTCCTAACATGCAAGGTTGGTTCAATATTCACAAAACCACCAAGGTGATACATCACATCAATAACAAAGGATAAAATCATATGATCATTAGGATAGAGGCAGAAAAAAAATTGATAAAGGATAACACCCATTCATGATTTAAAAAAAAAAAAACTGCAAAGCAGGTATAGAGGGAACACACCTCGATACAATAAAGGCCTTATATGAAAACCACGCGGAACATCAACTCAA